AAAGTCCCACAGTGCCACAGCCAGCTGGGAAGTGAGGAAGGCATTTATCCCTGAGGCTGGGCCGTCACATGGATATAAAGCATTTCTCACAGATGTTGCTGTCAGAGAGCTCAGTATCAATAAGGAGAGAGAAACCTGGAAGCTGGATTCTCTTGGTAACCCCTGAGCACGTGTCCTTGCTCCGAAGGAACCGCAGCGCTCCTCGGAGCATTTCCCTCTGCCCGCAAGCCTGACCTCTGTCCTGCCGAGCCTCAGCTCCAGCCTCAGCTCCAGCCTCAGCTCCAGCCTCAGCTCCAGCCAGCTCCTGCTCTTCCACGTGCGAATCTTGGCGAGGCACCGGGACAACTGGAGTCTGTTGTGTTATCCTGGGCTGTAAACAACAGGCACAGCCACGTGTCATCTCCGAGCTCCCCGATCCAAACAGTGGCGGGAGCACCGGCGGGAGCAGTTCTGGGGAGCGTCCGGCGTGCGAGGGGGTCAAAGGGAGCTGGGCCTGCCAAGTATCCTGAGCACTGATGAGGCTTGGACACGTGTGCTGGACCAAAGCAGAGCAGTAGTGGCAGAAGGGCTCAGTGAAGCAGCTTGAGTCATTACAACCACTGGTTTTCCTTCTTTCCACGCAGATAACAGGGAATAATGCTTTCTAAGAGAATGGTTCCCCGTTGAGGGAGCTGGTGGATGTCAGAGGAGGGACTGTCAGGATTGGTGATGATGTTAGCAGAAAAAGAGCGTGCTTTTGTTCAAACTTACTCTTCACGTGGGAAAGGATTTTTGTGAAGAAAACAGTTTTTGTGATATGAGAATTTCTCTCCACTTCTGGAGCGAACCAGGGCTTTTGTGAAGCAGATGAGTTATGTCAACTCCAGGGCCTTATTGAGCCTTTTTACTCTTGAAGTGGAAAAGATTGAAATCCGGAGTTTGTACAGCAGAGGTTACTAAAACAAGGAGAAAACTTGGTTCTTTTCCTGGGTTTTGGAAGAAATCTGATATGTAATACTGAGGAATTTATTTCACCTCTGTGCCTTTCTTTAACCATCTGTAAAATGGGAATGATACTGGCTATGTTATGTCAGGTGCTTTAGGATGTGTAGGACAAACGAGGCAGGGAACAAGCCAGATGCTGATTGTATTGGATTATCTTCCAAAACCCTGACTCTGGCAAATCCTCACTGTACATGGATCTGTCATCCTCCTTCACTCCCAGTATCAACCCCATGCAGAATAATTTGGAGAAATTCTTCCCTGTGAGGGTGGTGAGACCCTGGCACAGGTTGCCCAGAGAAATCCCTGGAAGTGTCCAAGGCCAGGTTGAATGCGGCTTGGAACAACCTGGGATAGTGGAAGGTGTCCCTGCCCATGGCAGAGGAGTGGAATGAGATGTTCTCTAAGTTCCCTTCCAACCCAAAGCAGTCTGTGATTCCATGAATTTGAAATTCTGTTTTCATAAGGAATATGTACTTTGTTATAACTGCCAGCGATGGGAAGGCATAAACAGCTAAACAGCTTCACCACTAAGAGCTCTTTTCTTGTAAGGGTGAACAATGTACAGATCCTGCAGCATTAGCTGCCACTTATTTATTTTTAAACAACTCGTCCCCGTCTGTAACAGGGAACAAATTAACTTGAGCAGTGTGACAGTTTGCATATTTTCAGTCTATTCATCTTCCCAGAGAAGGCAGAGCTCGAGCTTTTAAAGCAAGAGCACACGAAGTGCAGTTCCAATCTTTAACAATCCTCCTGTGCCCCGTTTTCATGCCCAGTTATCATCTCCCTCTCTCTTTTGTGGACCCCACAGAAAGCTCAGAGGAATCCTCATGCTGGGCAGTGGAAGTGCATGGGATCAGCCAGCAGTGGATACAGGTGAAACTGGTGTCTGCTGCGTGCTTGGTGGAAGGATTCCTTCCAAAATCTATGTCCAGCAAGAGATAGACAGGATATAACCAATATCCTAGATATCCTATAACCAGTTAGAGCTGATTGAGGATGTGGTGCACCCCAAGACATACATCACACACGTTGTGCCTCACTCCTTCCTCTGCTGTGTTTTCCTCTGCATCCCATGAACTCCACAGGAGAGAACCTTCAGTGATGTGCTGCTAATGCTCTGTGTGTGTTACACAGGCTCTTGGTGCAGGAATGCTGACACAAACAAAAAGGAGATAACTTGGAAATTCTATTGCTCCATTTATGTTATTATTGTAGTTAATGGTCTGTCAGCATTTCCATTATAAATCCCTATTTTTCAGGGGTTTATAACTCAGCCGTAAAAATTCTCTCCAGGCTGAATTTGGCATGTGTGTTTTCAGCCTGAGAGCACATGTGTTGTGTTTTTTTTTTTTTTAACAAGTTTAAAAAAAAATTAGAACTGCATTCACAATTTTTAAGATATAGAATTGCCAAAAAAAAAAAAAAGCACCAACAAAAAATAGGTGATTGGTTACAGATGCTTTCTTTGCACTCATATAACTCAAAAATTGCTGAGTTATTTCAGCTGTAATTGTGGGTATGTGTAAGGTTAAAATGGTGGATTTAGTACTATTCCTTTCTTTATGGTGTTGGTATTTGACAAGCAAATAGAAAACAGACCCCTGTACTGTATACACTCACGTATAAGCTGACCCGGGTGTAAACTGACCTCCCAAACCTGCCCCACACCCCCCTCCCTCCTTGGGGCCACGTTGTTCCAGTGTCAGCAAGGATGGGGGTGCTGGGAGAGGATTTTAGGTTTGGGTGAGTTCCTTTGCCTTTATCCCGTCACTTCCAAGGTCTGTGCCGGGAACCCACACGGACCAGGTGGTGCGGGCAATAAAGAGCTACAATAGACACGTGTTCCCCCAGGCTCTGAGGCCCGGCTTTGTCCACCTTGTTTACAGAGGGCCTGCCCTGTGTCTGGGATCGCCCCGGGAGAAGTTTACACGAAGAGGAGTGTAAACCACATGTTTTACTCCGAAGCATCTGAAAGGAAAAGAAACAAGGGGAAAACTAAGAGATCCTGTCTGGATTCTTTGCTGTCTGCACACACAGATTTTCCTTCTGATCTCCCCATAGTACCTCTGGCTCTTCACTTGTGTTTTGTTCACCAGGGCTGGAACAGAAAAGGGTGACCAGCATCCAGAGAAATTTTATTTTACGATCTCCAGATCTCCTAATTCCCAAACTAATTTGCTTCCGAATGAATTGATTGCCTCAAGACTACAAGAACAGGCTGCAATAGGGTGCACAGATTTTTACATTTTTTTTGCATGTAGGGTGATTTCTGCATAACATTTTATTATGCATAAGACCAGAGCATCACATGCCTTCCCAAGAATGAACAATTCCTTTCACACTAAGAGAAAGTGCAAGAAATTCCGGCGACCCTGTACCAGAGTGATTCCTGCCACGTCTGTACTTTGGCACCATGATATCTATAAAATTGTGTAAAATAACGATTATGGAAATTTATAATCTGATTTTCTTTTTTTTTTTTTACATTTATCAGATAGATCTCTTTGTAAGTATTCGATTCTTTGCATTTTTGCTGTGCACACTGGATTTTCTCCGTGATGTTTTTAACGTCCTGTGATATATAACATCCCATCATATCTTAAACATTCCTTTACATCAGTATGAAAGGTCATGTACTTGGGCTGTTTTTCATTTCACGAACATCTGGGCTTATGAGATTAACAGAACAGTACAGCATTGCCTTCTTTTTGGTCTCTTTTATTAATAACTTGTGAATAACACTTGTCTTCTACCATGTGGATTATACTTCTGTTGGGGTAATTTCCTCACTGTAATAATGGCTGCTGGTTAACCCCTTGCTCACAACTGCTGCTGTTACCAGCTCAAATGGATTTTTTATGTTCAGATGTGTAATCCTGTATGTTTCCATGGGGTAGGAACAGGTCATTTCCCTAAAAAACGGGGATCTAGCACCATTTTCATGCTGTAAGATGTCCCACCAGGGCTCCAGTTGTCACTGTGGAGAAGGCCTGGGGCTCCTGTAGGTCCTCTGGTGTATCTTCCAGATATCCCTGAGGCTGTGAGGTGTGTTCAGTGTCACTGTGTGCCTGGGATTATGTTATATTTTTATATTTGTGGTGAGCACAGTCAGGATTTGGGGTCCTCCTACAGTGCAATGGGAGGGTCACATTATTTAATGGTGGTGGACAAGGGCCTGGAGTGCCAGGACAAGGGGGAATGGCTTCCCAGAGCCAGAGGGCAGGGTTAGATGGGATATTGGGAAGGAATTCTTCCCTGTGAGGGTGGGGAGGCCCTGGCACAGGTTGCCCAGAGAAGCTGTGGCTGCCCCATCTCTGGGAGTTTTCCAGGCCAGGCTGGATGGGGCTTGGAGCAACCTGGTCTCGTGGAAGGTGTCCCTGCCCATGGCAGGGCATTGGAAATGGATGATCTTTAAGGTCCTTTCCAATCCAAACCATTCTATGATCCTGTGATTTCTGGTTTGCAAAACTATAAAATAGGAATGAGAATAATTGTGACAGTAAAGGCTTTACCTGATTGTGAGGTGGTTTCATATTGTGCAGAGACCACACAGCCAGTCATAAGTGACATGAGAGGTGATCTGAATTCACCTAAAAGGCCAAAAAAGTGTTTTCTATGCATAGATCATAGAAACACAATATGGTTTGTGTTGGAAGGGGCCTTAGAGACCCCTTTGTTAATTAAATCTTTAACTGTCAGAACTGTGGAGAAATTGGTTCTACACCTGCAAACAGAAAAACACTGAACAGAGAACTACAGACCTGGAGATTAAAGTCTCCATAATTTGTCACCAGTCATTTAATCCCTCATTTCTTCTCTTCTGTCTGTGTGTTTATTGTGTGTTTTGTGTACAGGGTTGTATCTCCCATAGCAATTCCATGGGGTTTGGCCACAAGATGGCATCTGATTTCATGATCTTCTTTTAAAATATCACTCTTTTTTTTTTCCTGTCTTGATGGAGTAATGCCCAATTTTCCTGAAGCAAATTATAACCTACTTTCCTCCTCCCTTAGGGAATGCCTTCAGGAGCAAATGCAGTAGGATTTTCCATGGCATTCTTGGTTGCTGATAGTTGGAACCACCAGCAGAGATGATGGGTGACAGTTGCTGTGGATCCTCTGCTCTGTAACCCCACTCCTCCACCCTTCCAGGGTGTGACTGCTGCCTCTGTTATGATTGTTGCCTGGCAAATGAGAACTGACACAAAAACTGCAGCTCATTTCATCTGTGAAGTGATTCAAAGTCCCTTGAATCTGATTAACAAACTCTTAACTGGCATAGAATAAACTTTGCCTGGGTCCCTGCTTGCAGAAAAATATCCTACAATTTCTTAATTCTCACTAACCTGCCTAAATTTAGGAGTGATGTGTTTCCTTCTTATTTCTGCTCCAGAGCATCTCCCATGTTCCTGCATTTGGGGAATGAGGAACAGTCAGATTTGAAGGACAAACAGCCTCATCTGAGTAGACAGGGAATTCTGCCTCTACAATTACAGGAGCAATGGGTAACTGAGATTTATCACGGGATCAGACCTACAGGAAACTGCAGCAGTTGGTTCTTGGAAGCTTGTGGAACATGAGTTTGAGTAAGTAGGATCTTGATTTGCAAAGGGAGAACTAAAATATTCAAAAATTGTTCAAATGGGTTTGGCTTAACAGTGTGAAAACCAATGATTCAGTGCAACTAATCAGTATTTAGATAACAGGTTGTTTGGAAACTGCTGGATGATGTGAAATAGAGCAATTGACCTTTTTCTGAGTAACTTTAGCAAATAACAAAATTGTGAATTGCTCCAGAATATTTTATCACAGCTGACTTTGCAACAGCTTAAGAAGGCAAAAAGCGAAAATGGAGTTGAATAAGAGGAGAGAGATTTTCATAAAGTTCTTGGTGGCTTTTACACGATGTTGTTTGGTCCAGCCCTGGCTGAGAAACTCCACCTCCCTTTGATTGCTGGAATTGATTGTTCCACTCTAGCTGGAGAAAAAAGCCTCAGCAGTGTTGCAGAGGCAAGTGTGCTCTACATCCCACTGGGAAGGACTGTGGGAACTCTTCACAGATTAGAGGCCACGGGGTAGGAACCTCTGTGAGCCAGGATGGGAGAGCACCCGGGATTTCAGATATGGGTGGAACCACCCAGGGAACGTGGGACTGCAGACATCAAATGGTTTGGCCTTGTTGTTACTGCTGAACCCATGGATCAAGAAAAATGGGAGATTTAATCTCTGCAGTCTGGTAACCCTGTATGAAATGTAGAAGAAAAGGTAGAGGAATCATCAAATTGTTAAGGTTGGAAAAGACCTCTAGGATTATCAAGTCCAGCAATCAACCCAGCACCACCACCCTGTTCAACACTAACCCATGTCCTCAAAATGCTCACAGAAGAGAGACAAACTGATAAAGGGTGAAACATTGAAAAGGATTTTTAAACAAGAATTTTGGCAAATTGTGGTCTCTCTATTGGTGTATCTCATTGCTGGAGTTTCTGGTTAAAGTTTTTCTGTGTTTGGGCAGAGGTAAAGGCTCTTTGCCCTCTGGGTTCCTGCTGCCTGGTGGGGGCTGAGCTTGTCCCACAGGGTTTTCTCTGTGGTGGGACACACTGCCACACTCTCTGTCCTGTAACTGAGAAAAAGTACCTCCTTTTAAAAAATGCAGTGTCTTTAATTTCTCTGAAACCTCTTACTCTCAGTCCAGTCACTTATGGCTAAAATGGGCAAGTGGGATGTGTGTGGAGAGGACAGACAGACAGTGTATGATCAGAGAGCTCAGCTAAACCCTCTGTTTTTCAAAAGACATTTTGATACAAGCTCTGTTAACTTTATCAAATGTCTCTTCCTGTAGAAACTTACCATGGCATCTGAGAGACTTACCTTTATTCCTATAACATTCCAGAGAAACAAGGAAGAGATGCTGTCTTATTTTTCACTGGAACAAGTGTAACACAGAAAATTTTTAACCTAGATGGCAAACCTATTTAACTGTATAATTCTGAGTAGTAACTTCAGGCTCTGTAAGGACAGTCCCTGAAGGATCTGGATCCAAATATTTTGCCCGAGGTGAAGTTGAAATAGTGTAGCAGAGTGGTGAGGCTTGACTTCCCTACACGAGGATCTCTCTTGATGGAGGCAGATCCTGCACTGCACAGCAGGTGAGGTGTGGAAGGAGGTTTGTGCCAACCTGCTCCAGCTGCTCACCTGCCCTTTTGCCTCCTCACAGCCACCCCAGCTGTCCCAGCAAGGTGCTCGTGTGAGTCCTGTGTCAGGCTCAGGGACGAGGGCTAATTTAAAGGACATAAATAGCAGACCTTCACTAATTCTTCCTGATATACATTGCTTCCATGAGCAATTTTCCTAGGAAGCTGACAGGGCTGAAGGCTGTCCCATTTTCCACAGGTATTGCTGGATCCAGGAGAGGATGTTTGCAGAGTAAGTAACTTTGCACATTTCCACTCTGCCTGAGCCTCCCCTCAGCTCCCTGTGGTTGAAGAGTCAGGAAAAAGCTGCTGTTGGTACAATTTGCTCTTGTGCTGAGATTTGGCCTGAGGAGCTCAGGGGTGTGTCTTGGTGAGTCGTGCTTCAGGTAATTATTTGCCTCTTGGTGCACTGGGTGGTACCAAAGCTCTGTGTGAATGTTAAAGAGCAGATTTTCAACCAGCTTTCAGCCAGCCTAGAGAATATTCCAGCTAACGAGATTTATTTTTGTAAAGAGCTGACTCTCTTACCAAGAGGGGCTGTCTTTGTTTGGTATGGAGAAGTTTCAAGCTCTTCCACTCCAGGTCTTAAGGAAAGAGATGACTGCAACACTGAGGAGCTAAGGACAGCTATCCACTCACACCTCCATTTTCAGCTTTCCACATCTGGTTAAGTGCATTATGGCATTTTTGCTTTTACATATGAATCATTAGCTCTTGGCTGTGGCTGGTAGGAAAAAGAGACAGCAATTTTCATGTGCCTGTCCATATTCTTGTATAGAAAGGGGATAAATATTTTTCTAAAATACACCACGTGAGTGCTTCTGTTACATCTCTCATCTAAGTACCCCCAAGTTCTCTGCAAATTGTAATCAAATATGATGAGACAATTAAAACAATAAGGGGAAATATGAGATCAGCTTCCATTTATTTTATGAATCCAGGGACAAGCACATATTTTTTTCCTGCTGAGCAATGAGAAGTTCCTGTTTCATTCGGATGCACTTGAAATGTGAAGTGGGACTACAGTTTATCCTTACTTTTGTTTTTCTGCTAATGTGTTCAAAATGGGGTTAATTTGGCAAATATGCTTTCTTCAGCAGAACTCAATCTTCATCTAAACAGCCCTTCCCAGTGTAAGCAGGACAGTAAGTGGAAAAGGAGGTTATTCCTCTATTAATCTCCCGCATGGCTCAGTAAAGTTCTGGCAGCCTCTTGTGTGACTTTCCTGTGTCAAATGGGAAAAACTTTTATACTTTCTGGTTCTCACTTCTGTACTACAGTCCCAACCCCAAATTTCCTTCTCTGTCAGCTGCTGCCTCTGTTCCCTTTGAAGTTCCACCGTGTGACCCAGGGAGATTTGAGCTGTGTTTTTGTGCTTTGTTGTCTCACCTGCTCCTGTTCTGACAGCTCGGGATGGGTGAGTGAGGCAGACAAGCAGCTTTGTGGAAAGGCTCAGGCTGGGGAAACCTGTGTTCAGGGACTGCTGAGCTCCTTGGCAAGGCCACATTTCCCCAGGGTAACTCCTCAGAGTGACTTCCAGGCACACTGAAGGTACTCTGAGAACATTACACTGATCCTGGTTGGCTGCCCAACAGGCTTGTTGTGACAGTGACACTTTCTGCCTCCAGTGTGCTTCATGCCATCTCTCCTAGATCCACAAAACCACCCCAAATGAGCTGCTGCAGAAACCTGTAGCTTTTTTTTCCCGTAGGTTTTGTGAAGACAGAGCAAGTCTTGCTCCTTGTGTAAGGAAAAAAGTCTTTTTGGGTGTTGGAGAGGCGTTTAAAATATGGGACAACACTGTGCCTCAGTAATGTTAGTTATGAGTCTGCTCAAGGGATGGGAGTACTGGCTGGTTGGCTCTTTTTCTAGAAGGAGCATTTTCCACTGAGCCTGTGATTCCATAGCAGTCTAAGCCAAAATAAATCGGTGTACTGTGGTCTGGTGCTACCCCTCACCTCTCCTTGCACATTCCCATCCCATGTCCTCCCCTCTCCATTCTGTGGACAAGGCAGGGCTGCTCCCTGTGTGCAGGGGGGGTTTGCACTGTGGCAGGAGGGAAGGGCAGAGGTGCTGTGCTTCTGTAACACCCAAAAGCTAAGTCACCACCTGGCCAAAAATTCTGGGAACTTGTGGCCTGCCTTAATCAAATCCACATGTCCAAACAGGAAGCCACTCGGTGCTGTTCTGCATTTCCATGAGTAGCCTGGGATGGAGAGTGGGGAAGACACTGTTGAGTATTTTTCCCAGTTCTACCACTAATTTATGCTCTTTCTGACCTTTGGCAAAACAATTTAATTTGCAGATGTCCAAACTGTACAACAGGGCTATCAATACATTCCATCCCATAGGAAACTTGCTCGGTGACACTGTGTGAGCCAAGGCATTTGAGATCCCTGGGCAGAAAGTGCTTCTGAATTGCTACAATTATTATTTTGTTAGTTATTTGCATGTTTGTAAACATGGGGCAAGAAGTCTGAGAAGATACCATAAATCCAGGACTCTGGAAAAATGTCCAAAGGAATATTTAACTCCTTTCACTCTGAAGTTTGTAAATATTAGAGTCCGTGTTAGGAAAAAATATTTGTATTCATTCTGTCACTTTTCAGATATAACTAGTGCAATTCAAAAATATTGAAATCAAACCAAAAGATTGCTTATAATTATTTCCACCTTGATTTTTTTCTTGAGGGAAAATAAAGGATGTCACAAGGAACCCAGAGCATTACCTTGTCTGGGCTGTGCTGCACAGGACTAGTTCAAAACTGAGTCATAGAATCATGGAATGGTTAGGGTTGGAAGGGACCTTAAAGATCATCTCATTCCAACCCAAGATCCACAAGATTCAGTATAGAAGAATAAAGTAAGGGGAGCCCAGCCAAACATCTCTGCTTGTCCCAACTGTTGGAGTTTATCAGGGTCTAAACTCCACACTGGGCTTTGTGACCCTCACGAGAAAAGCAGAACAGGTTCCCAGTAATGGAAACACTCGGGAAAATGGTTTTGTTTCCCATTTCAATGTTTCTGCTCTCACACATGTGCGGTCAGGGCGTTTCCATGGGCAGCGCTGCAGGAAGCCTGTTTCCTCCTCCACATCTGGGGTGACAGTCGGGAGTGAACGCGGGAGACCAGGCTGACAAAGAGCTGAGTATTATCCCGAGGATAAATGAGTTAACCCATCACTGCAAACACTGTGCTGGCGGATTTTAGTGCAATTAGCTCCACAAATACCAAGACATGCAGTCTGCAACCAGACTAAAAGGTCTCCTAAACAATTAGGGGACCACGGCCCCATGGACCCCTGTCATGCACATTAATGTCACTGGCCTTAGCAAAGGGGATGTGTGTGCTTTGATGCCAGGGGAATCCAGGGTTTGACGGCCCCAT